TTTTCAACAGTGCTTCAACAAGATTATTTAAAGAGCAAGTCACCCCCAAATCAACTTTTTTCTGATAAACTACATAACTGCGTGTCTAATCGTGCTGCAGACACGTGTCGTCAGTAGTTTTGCACTTTAGTGCATTTTAGTAAACATTTCAATTTTCTGCCTAAAACTGTCAGTGTTGTGCCGTTGTCAGGTAAAAACTCTGCACTGCATTTGAATTTAAATCTGCCATCGCTGTTGGCTAAGAGGTACCCTTGAAAGTTAGCTGGTACCATATGATGTCACAATGTCGTTGTGAGTCTGTGTGTGTGTGTGTGTGTGTGTGTGTGTGTGTGTGTGTGTGTGTGTGTGTGTGTGTGTGTGTTTGTTAGTGGCTCCGCCCTCTCGGTCTGCTAGGCAACAGCATTTGTTGCATTTTTCAAACAGGAAGTGGGAGCGGAGTAATACTCTGGTAGGGGGTGACTTGCTCTTTAAATAAAAATAAAGTCATGGAACAGGCCTGGACAACAGGGATGGGACTCCCAACTGAATATTTTGTTGCACAACCTTTTGAGGCAATCAAACGTAACTGTAACTGTTACTGAGACTTCTGCACCTCTCAGCAGGTATTTTGGCCCACTCCTTCTTCTTCTGGTCCATGTTGAGTGTGGTACTCACCCTGTCACCAAACACAATGAATACCTGGAGCCCTCTATGTAGGCGCACTGACTGTAGACACCTGTGATGCTAGAGGACACACCCTGAATGAACACATATTTTTCTAGGGGTATCGTCATTTTTTTGTCCCGGACTGTTCAGTTAGTGAATTTTTTTTAATCATTCCATTAAAGCGTGGTTGAGAAGCAACGTCTGACTCTGGTAAAATTTCATAGAAATTTTATTTATTATTACTTTGGTCAAATGTAAGTTATTTCTGTGACCATTGTGGATTTTCTTTCATTGACCGAAGCGTACCAACTATTTTGTCCACGTCTGTTTGTAGGTAACTTGGAGCAGCGTTAAAGTTTTCTCGTGCCTGACTTAATAGAGCTATGGACCGGTTCTGAAGGAACGAGGCTATCCAAGCCAACCTGGTTCTGTGTGGAAAAAGCTGCTGACCCCTAAACTTTATGACTGGTTGTAACAATTTTTGTGGCCTTAAGTCCAATCAAGCATTGGTGATGGGCGGTCGTGAGTCTGCACAAGAGCTGAACCTCTTTTTAAACCAGGTATGTCTAAAGTGTGGCTCGGGGGCCGTTTGTGGCCCTTGGAGTCATTTTCTGCATTTATTTGGCTTCTACAGCAGGCTGTTGTAGATCAGCTCTTTATAAGATTTTTTACTAAAAGGCCTATTTTGTGGAGTAAAAATAAAAATCTATGTTAAAAACTACGTTTTGGCGCCTGCGAGGACAACTTTGGCCCTCGTCTTGCACAGTTTGGACTCTCCTGCTTCAGACCATCACAACCGTTATGTTTATTAAAATGTAAAGTTAGTTTATGCCAGATGTGACGGGACACACGCCTTCCCCAAGGCTTCCCTGTTGTCCAGAACAGTCCACAGAACTTTTCCCAAAAGTGTTGCACATAATCGGGATCTTGTTTGGAAAATATGAGACAGGTTATCTGGCTTTGCATGGAATGAGTCTCTCACATATGAGTTTCACCTTTGAAGGTGTATTGCTGGCATAAATAAACATGTGCACCAGATTCTTGCCTTTCCACAACCCTGGTCAGGAAACCAAGAGGTGATCGCATGTTGAAGGGAACCAGAATCTGCACCCGGTTCATGTCTGACATCCACGTACCAAGAGGAACTCGCCTCAGGGTCAACGGCGGCAAACAAACGGGGACTACGAGGCTTCGCTCTGACTCTTCCCTGCATCAGGAGTTCAAACACGACCCAACACGACAGCGAGCGTTTTGCCACATTCGCTCGATAGACCTAGACTTTCTTTCCTGTGTAAATTCAACAACTTTAGCATTCTCAAGTGATTTAAGGTACTTCAGGTAAAAAGACAAGAGTTTGTTTAAGGCCCTTTAAGGATAACTCCACTCAACCTTTATCTATACAGCACTTAATCCTACAATACATGCAACGCAAAGTGCTTAACAAATTAAAAAGGCCCCGCGTACCCACATTCCCTCCCATCCCCAGAATTTTAAAAACAGTCTGACAATAAAAACCCATTCACAACACTCATCCTCCGGCACACACACACATTCAAATCCCAGGTTAAACAGGTTTGTAGGATTTCCTTTTTCCACCTTCGGAATATTGCTAAGATTAGAAGCATCCTTTCCAGGAGTGATGCTGAAAAACTAGTTCATGCATTTATTACATCAAGACTGGATTACTGTAATCCATTACTCTCAGGAAGTCCACAGAATGTAATTAAAAGTCTTCAGCTTGTCCAAAATGCTGCAGCTAGAGTTCTGATGAGAATTAAAAAGAGAGATCATATCTCTCCTGTCTTAGCTTCCCTACATTGGCTACCTGTTAAATTCAGAATAGGTTTTAAGATCCTTCTTCTCACATATAAAGCTCTTAATAATCAAGCTCCATCATACATCAGTGATCTGATTGTTCCATACGTTCCTAACCGAGCACTTCGCTCTCAGACTGCAGGTTTACTGGTGGTTCCCAGAATATCTAAAATTAGGATGGGAGGCAGATCTTTTAGTTATCAGGCTCCTCTCCTGTGGAACCAGCTCCCAGCCTTACCCCGGGTTTCCACGGGAGCCAACAGCAGCACGTTACTGCAGCAGCACGTCTTGCTCGCGTAAGCTGCTGCTTGGCCCTTCCCACGAGACGCGAAGCAGCAGGGGAGCAGCTGTCACCGACAGAGCACAAAGTCACACGAGTGACTTCATCAGTAAACACAACAACAAGCAGGAGAAAACTACAACATGGTTTGTGTTTTATGTTCTGTCCGTTTTATAATCGCCAATACGGACCTGAAAAACAAAGGAGACCGCTAGCTAGGTGATAACTTCTCACGGGGCCGCACAGTTAGTAACTTTTTTAAAAGTAAAGCAACCGGAAGGCAGTACATTCTTTATTCTGAAAATCTCGGTAGCTTCTCTCCATTTCCGCGTCCGATTTCCTGTCTTTCCTTCCCCAAAAATGTCAAACTTGACCCGTTTCAGAGGCGTCGCACGTAGAAAATAGAACCGGCGCGTAAAGGTCGCGACATGCTGCTCCTGAGACGCGGCCGACTCGCGCTGCTGACGGCTCCAGTGGAAAAGGTTCTGTTGACCACAGCGGTTCCTATCAGCAGCTATGACGTGCTGCTGCAGTAACGTGCTGCTGACGGCTCCGGTGGAAAGCCGGGGTTAGTCCGTGAGGCAGACACTTTGTCTACTTTTACGACTAGGCTAAAACATTTTTATTTGATAGGGCCGATGGTTAAAATCTGATGTTAGCCTAAATCTGGACGAGTGGGGGAGTAGAGGGAGGTGGAGTGTACAGTCGGTAAAGACGGCTCTCCCTTGCCCTGCCTCCAACATGCCTCCATCTAAAAGGCTAGGTTATCCAGAGTTATCTCTGTAGGTATGCTGCTATAGGCTTAGGCCCTGTCCACACGTAGCCGGGGATCTGCCAAAACGTAGATTTTTTTCTACGTTTTGGCCTGTCATCCACACCAAAACGGAGTTTTTTCACACGAAAACGGATCTTTTTAAAAACTCCGGCCAAAGTGAAGATCTGCGTTTTCTCCGTTTTGGGTGTCTGCGTGTGGACAGACAAAACCGGAGTTTTAAGGTCCGCAACGTCACTTTCCGCAAAAAAAAAATGCTGACATCACGTGTGTGACCTGTGTTTACACTAGCCGACATCATGGAAGCCTTCAGAGCTGCGCTCTGTCACCACCCGATCCATCAATTGTCCAAGCGCTTTTTGCTTGTTTGTTTTTGCAAGCAGAATTACTGCTCCTTGCGGAAGACCACAGACGAAGGACGAGGTTAAGAACGGGAGAAGTACTGCCGCCTACAGGTCTGGCATGTCCTTAACAACGTATTTATCCGGGTACGTGTGGACAGAGTTTGTTTTTAAAACGCGGTGGTGTGGATGCAAGTTTTTGGAGGGGCGGATATTCGTTTTTTAAAAACCCGGCTACGTGTGGACTAGGCCTTAGACTGCTGGAGGACACACTGACCACTTTTCACACTCTACTACTTTCTTCTACAGTCTGCTCTTTAACTGTATTATTTCCTGCTATTTCAGCTGTTAACTTTATTTTCTCTCTAAGTGTTTTTCTCCCCAGAAGAAGCTACAACGATGTTCTGCTGAGCTGTGGTGGCCTCATGGAGGGGGCCATCGACTAGCACACTGCTGCTAACCACTTAAACATTCTCCCTCTCCTGATAATAACTTTTTGCTTTCCTTGACGTTGGATGTGCTACTACTAGTTTACCCGTTTAATTATAGATCCACTAGGATAAATACAATAAATTTTATCTCTCACCAAATAGAATATTTACTAAGACATCACAATGTAACCATAGAAACACTACTTTGTGTGTGTCCTCAGTATGTAGTAAGTACAAGAATGTGTGTGTGTGTGTGTGTGTGTGTGTGTGTGTGTTCTGTCTTCTCGATCCCCAGTGAGTCGTGGAGGATGGCTGCTTATACTGAACCAGGATTCTCTGGAGGTTTCTTCCTGTTAAAAGGGAGTTTTCCTCTCCACTGTCGCTGCATGCTTGCTTAGTACAAGGATTGCTGTAAAGACTCTGACACTAGTCAGTGACTTGATGCAGTTTGCTGGGTTCCTTATATAGGAAACATTATTTCTGATTGGCTTAATGAACTGACCTGAATTGGAATGATTATTATGTGAAGTGCCTTGAGACGACTCTTGTCGTGATTTGGCGCTTTATAAATAAATAAACTTGAATTGAACTGAATTAAAATAATGTTGATAAGAACAAAGCGCGAGACTGGAGAAGGTGATGCAACAACGGATGGAGACGCCGTTCTTTTTCTCACCTGTAACGTTGTTAATGAGCAAAATAAAACTTTTCTGCTGTTTTGTCTCAAAATGTTTTATTCAGCAATTCAATGTACAATCGAACGCATCAACAATGGTCCTGTTCCTCCCACAAAAGCCTATTAAAGGCCAAAAGCTTACCGACAAAGTAGGACTCGTAACAAACTATGTTGTTTATTAAGACTCCAGAATGTCAATAAGAGCATTTTTCTACAGTAGGAGGGCTGAAGAGGCCGCCGCGCAGACAATGACCTTCTGCTATTCTCCTCATTGATAATGACACAGACACAGGCACACTGCCCATCAGCCAGACCTCTAATGAAGCCAAAAACTCCATCATCTACTAATAACCTCCACTCAGCTGCAGGAGTCACACGCAGGCCAACGTCTTCTCAATGCGAGGACAGGAACAAAGCTCCGGACAGAGTGGGAAAAGCATCCAGCGTATTGATCCGAAACGGTGTGCTGCCCGATGGCACGTGGCGTTAACGGCATTCTTCTTCTGCATCCCTTAAAACTCAAAAGCAAAGGAGTTCTGAAGAAAAGAAAAACACAAACAGTGCAAAACATTTCCCCTCTGATAATCGATCCGTACTGCAGGCTCCGGGTAACCACACGCACGTTTGGAATGAAGATCTTTTCCAAAGACGGGATAGTAACGTCTCGTTTCTTAACTGGTGCAGGAATTCCTGCCTTTTCCTCCCTCTCAGCAACCTCCACAAAGGAATGATGCTTAATTATCCCCACGATATCTCACTTCACATTCACTCATCTCTCTGCAGCTGTGCAGTTTCACACTTGTTATTCCATCACTGACTCAGCCTGATGATGTACTCATACAGCTGGTCTGAGAAGGCCTGCAGAGAGAACTTCTCCTGCACCCTCCTCCTCCCAGCTTGGCCCATGTCCCTGCAGAGCTGCGGCTCCCCGATGAGCCTCTCCATGGCCTTGGAGAAGCTGTCGGCAGTGGGCTCGCACAGGAAGCCCGTCTCTCCATCCACTACGCTCTCCAGGGGACCCCCGGAGTTCACAGCAATAACAGGACAGCTGCAGTACATGGCCTCAACAGGAACTATCCCAAAGTGTTCTCTGCTAGGGGTGTAAAGCACGGCGGTGCTGACCCGCAACAGCGCCACCTTCAGGGAGTCAGAGGGGGAGCGCAGAAACGTTACACAGTCCTCCAAGTGGAGCTGCTCGGCTAATTCTTTCAGCTCGATGTAGTGCTGAACGTTCTCAGTAACGCGCTCATCGTAGCCTCCCGCTACCACCAGGTGAACAGCAGCTCTCTTAGCTGATGGAAGGCTGCACCTCAGAACCGCCAGAGCCTTCAGAGCCAGGCCCAAATTCTTCTTTCTCTCGTATCGGTTCAGAGACAGAAACACGTGGGACGTTTTCTCAGGAAGCAGGCCCTGCAGGCCGTGAGCTTCGGCGGAGGACCGGTCGAAGGCGGCGGTGTTGAGAGAGGGGTAGAGGACGTCCGTCCGGACTCTGCTCAGACTTCCAAAGGTCTCCCTGAAGACGCCTGCAGTAAACTGGCTGTTCACCAGAATCTAAGAAAAGAAGGAAGATCAGTTTCTGAGGATTTCACATTCATCACAGATGTCGTTTTTCCAAAGTCTTGCCCAAAATGTTTGGATTTAGCCGAGTGTGGAGGTCCTGACATAATCACTAGAGTGTTTCAAAGCTGTTTAAAGTCCCAACAACAAACCAGACCGTATTTACTTGTAAAAGCACGTTTAAAAACTGCATCTCAGCTAACCCAAAGTGCTGCACAGGGTCAGAACTTAGACTAAAACACAGGATTAAAGTTCACCTTCATACAGGGCGCGCAGGTTTAACAGTCAGAAAAGGCGATAAGATCAAAAATAAAACTTTAAGACCATAAATAACTCAAATGCAGCACAAGAACACGCTCATCAGCCAAAAGCTAGATGAAAGAAATGTGTCTTTAGGCCAGATTTGAGTTGCACCAGTGAAGGAGACTGGTGCACGGACAGAGGGAGGGCATTCCATAGTTTTGGTGCAGAGTAGGTGAAAGCATGCTGCCCCCGAGCTTTATAGCTCATTTTAGGTGCACAAAGGAGTAGTTGATCAGCAGACCTTAGTGACCTGGAGGGGTGGATGGTGAGAGCAGCTCTGTCAGGTAGAGGGGAGCAAGACCATGCAGAGCTTTAAAAGCAAACATTTAAATTTTAAACTGCACCCGGTAGTGCACAGGGAGCCAGAGCAGGCCAGCTAGAACAGGTGTGATATGACAGCGTCTGCTTGACTTTGTAAGAAATCTCGCTGCAGCATTCTGAACTTTCTGCAAGCGGCCGAGGGTGGATGCATCATCACCGGTGAGAAAAGTTTGCATTATCGAGTCTAGAGGGTATTAATGCATGAATGACAGATTCCAGGTGCTGATTTTGGGAACAGGTTTTAGACGGATTATGCAACAGAGCGGGAAGAAACAGGAAACAACGGTAGCATTAGCATGCAAGGACATCGTCAGGTCGGCATCTAACTTAAAGAGCAAGTCACCCCCTACCAGAGTATTACTCCGCTCCCACTTCCTGTTTGAAAAATGCAACAAATGCTGTTGCCTAGCAGACCGAGAGGGCGGAGCCACTAACAAATACACACACACACAGGCTCACAACGACAATGTGACATCATATGGTACCAGCTAACGTTCTAGGGTACCTCTTAGCCAACAGCGACGGCAGATTTAAATTTAAATGCAGTGCAGAGTTTTTACCTGACAACGGCACAACACTGACAGTTTTAGGCAGAAAATTTAAATTTTAACTAAAATGCACTAAAGTGCAAAACTATTGACGACACGTGTCTGCAGCACGATCAGACACGCAGTTATGTAGTTTATCAGAAAAAAAACTGTTGATTTGGGGGTGACTTGCTCTTTAACACCAAGACTAGTCACACAGGTTTTAAGGTTTAGAGTAGATAGATCTAAGTCAACGGATGCATGCACAGTGTTTAGGTTTGAAAACGGCCTCAGTCTTTTTGTCATTTAGCATTGATGTCCAGGAGACATTCATGAAGCTGATTGGTTGAACTCGACTGATTTAGACCAAATAGATGTGACCAGCATAAAGATGGTAGTTCAAGCCATGCTTAGCTTGCTTTTAAGCTATAGGTTCGCATGTGATTAGGATCTAAAGTGAGAAACACACCAACACACTGCAAGTGAGCATGCCTCCAGAACAGAAAAGTTAGTCTTTAGGTTGCAAAAACTTGCCTTTTAACTAAAAGATTTGAAACCAACAGTTTTCCTAAACAGACTGAAACAACTATCGAATCAGACATTCATGTTTTTGACCTCAGCTTCTGTTTACCATGTCAGCCATGCCAGTGGTGCGCTCCTCCAGCCAGTCAATGGGAGCTCTGTAAAGCTTCTTCAGGGCTGACTTCCTCTGGGTCAGCAGCTGGTCAGGGAAGTGACAGTAGAACAGAACTTTCTTCCGACGACGAGACAGTCGCAGAGCAGGTATGCACACCGACACCTGGGGTCAAATGAAATAAAATGTCTATAAGCAGATATAAAAGTAGAAAACAGAAGATAATCACTTAACAACAGAAGGAATCCAGGGAGATAGCCAGGCTGAAAAGTCATGGGTGCTTGTAAACGCACCTGATCACAGAAGATGACATCATAATCCACACCGCTGAGGAAGACCAAGTAAAGGGCCACATAGATCATCCGTATGTATGCGCACAGGGCATGCAGATAGCCACACACACTGGTGGGTAACCAGTCACCCACACATACCTTCAACATAAAGAAAACGTTTACGGTGTGAGTGTTTGGGTTGTACCGTTTTAAATATTTTTCTGTTCTCTGATGGATCACACTACATAAGAAAGTATGTTTTAACTGACCACATGCAGGTCTGGGTCCAAGGTCTCTGAGAAGCAGTGTGTCGGGTCATGATGGGCCGTCCAGATCTGCACGCTGCATCCCTGGGACTTCAGGGCAACAGCAGCATCAACCACTAGCCTCTCTGCACCTCCAATACCAAGATCCGGATGGAGAAACACCACCCGGGCCATCCTACACAAGGTCAAGTTGGCTTAGCAAACACTAAATATCTTAAAATTAGTTGGAGACAAATAATTTTTAAGTTTATAACATGCATTAAGCTCCATTTGATAGGACAACAAATGCAGACAATTTAATTAATTGTTACACATTTTGGTTTAAAGAAGTAAAGTGCTCTCCTTGGCTTCAGAAGAGTATGTGACATGAATCAAACTGAACTCAAAAAGGAACTTTTCTCAGCTACATTTAGGAGAAAATCAAAAACAAACAGATAATCTCCTGGATAGCACAGCAGAGTCTAATCTACAACTGCAAGCTATCCTCAACGAACAGCATCTGAAATGTGCTAAACCTGCTGCTAACTAGCAATCATTTAAAAGAAGTGTAACTGTGAAGTTAGCTTTTAGCTAAAGTTACACGTCTTAAACTCAACTGATATGATTATCGGCATTACTGGCGTATAGCTTGTAACATTGTTCTTAAAAGCAACATTTGTTAAACGTATAATTTAAGACGAATCGACTTGTGTTTACCTTAGATTCTCTTAACTGTCTCAGGTTTGGGAGTAACTCGACTTCCTTGTCGACAACCGCGGTCAGGAAGCTGTGTTACTTAGACGCCATTTTGGCTCCAGTCGGTCCTCTACACAAGCCTAACAACACTTGTGGGTTTGAGCCTCAATGGAGCCTGTTTCCTAATCTGCAAGGCACATGATTCTTGTGAGACACGTCTTTTTCGGATTTAGGGTGAATCCGTCATTTGCCTTTCAACTAACATGAAATGTTATCTCATAAATGATATTTTTGCACCACAATTTTTTATAGGAATTTTTGTCAGAAATTGGAATAAATTTTAGAAAATTTTCAAACGATCTTTGTTTAATATTTTTGTGTCGAATAGATCTGCCGGTCAGGCTTCTACTTGGTCACCTCCACTGGTCCTGATTTTAGCATTCGTGTCCTTCTTCAGATGCTCGTCAGCTTTGGGAGATCTCTTTAGAAGTTTGGACCAATTCGTAAAATCACTGTCTGTGGTTCAGCTGACGTGGAAATCTGGTCGAAGAAGGGCTCCGGTTTTAGGCTCGTATTGAGACACATAGAAAGATGGTAATTTTCTCATTTTTATTTAACACCGATATAATGCTAACTAGCTGAATTGCGTTCATTTTTCGATCCGACTTTCCGTTTTCATGTCGGTTAGCCGGTTAGCCCGTGATCTGTGGACGTGGCTGTTACTCTTAACTCCAACAAGAACAACACAGTTTTTATATTTCTCTCAGCACCGAATTATTTAATTCTACTTTTATGTGAACTCATTTCGGGATCGTAGTTTAACAATTACATTGTAATTACGCAGCCTAGCTAAGAATTATGCTAACATTGTAACATAAGATGCCCAGTTAGGAGTCTAGAGTTATTAAAGGGTTTTATTGTTGTAGTAATAATAATAATAATAATTGCACTCATTTGAATCATAATCATAAACAGTTTTTGCTTTAGCGTCTCCTAAAAAATGAACTTGACATATTCTGCACCATTTAGTAGGAATAGTGAAATTTAGAAAGAAAATTAGTTACAATCATTCATTTTTACATTTTTTTCCTTTATATATAATTATTTACAATACGTGGCTATACAAAGTAGTTTCCTCACAACTCAACCAACGCGTAGTTGTTAAAATCATTAGTTTTAGCTGTGGTCTAAGAGGAGGATGGGAACCGGATGCATGGACCCTGAATCATGTTTATATGTTTCTGACTTGTCTTCTCTTCTAGCCTGGACCAGCAGTAAGTGCAACCAATGTTGGGGCGTCTGGCCGTTCCCCCAGCAAGACAGTGGCTCCTCGGGCAGCAGGCTCCACAGTCAGGCAGAGGTAGGCTAAACACTGGGTGGCCGTTACCATTATTTACTTAAAATAACCTTTTTAGTTGATGGATGAGAATGAAAATGCTCATAAACGTAAGAACATTAAAATGTTTAACTTTTGCAGTCAATTCAATTCAAAGCTTTATTTATAAAGTGCCTTCCGCGACCCTGTCGGGGAGCCCAAGGCGCTGTACACAGTACATAAGAAATGTAAATCACAATGAATAAATGGATAATAAAAGCAATTAAAATTGTGCAAAGAGGGTAAAATGTTAAAGTAGAAACAAATGGATAAAACAAGGGATAAAGTGACCAATAAAAACAGGAAAATAAAATCAACATAAAAGAGGGCCGACCTCAAACACGTTCAGGGAACGCCAAGCGGCAGAAGTGGGTTTTCAGGCGACTCTTAAAAACCCGCAGAGACGGGTACAGCCTAGCTGAGGGTGGCAACTGGTTCCAGAGTGACGGCGCTAGGATAAGGATAGCATAAGGTGGTTTTTATGACACAAACTGTCATTTAAAGTGACATCTGTGGTTGTTCAGGTCTGGCAGAGTCACAGTCCCATAAATGTTTTGTTAAGATTAGTTACAGCTGGCGGTCGGAATCCGTTGTTGACTTAATGGGCCAGTCTGAAACGCAAGAACCCGGTCTTTTTGGAGGATTGTTAATGCCCTGCTGCCCAGCAGTTTGTCTTGTGACCTCATCAATAACTGATCTTTCTTGTGGATGTTTTAATGTTCAGAAACATGTAAAAAGTTGATCAGAAGTTTTAATATTGTAATTAATTCTTTAACATAAAACTGGCCATAATTGGCATCTGAAGATCAGAACTGGTCAAGAATCAGCAATTAGGGTCGTCCCTTTAAGGTAGAATCGGTGCTTTCCGATGAATGCCCAATCCTGTGTTTGTTAATGGGATTGCTATTCTTACACTTACTGGTCATGTTTCCCCTTTCATGCATCTGTTATGTTTGCATACATTTGATTAAAAGTAGAATCAGCTCCTCTAAGTCTGAGACCATGGTCTTGAGTCAGAAAAGGGTAGAACGCCTTCTCCGGGTCAGGGATGAGGTCCTGCCCCAAGTGGAGGAGTTTAAGTATCTCTGGGTCTTGTTCACGAGTGAGGGAAAGGTGGACCGTGAGATCGATAGGTGGACTGGTGCTGCATCTGCAGTGAAGAGAGAGCTGAACCAGAAGGTGAAGCTCTCGGTTTACCGGTGGATCTACGTTCCTACCCTCACCTATGGTCATGAGCTTTGGGTAGTGACCGAAGGAACGAGATCGCGGATACAAGCGGCCGAAATGAGTTTTCCCCACAGGGTGGCTGGTCTCTCCCTTAGAGATAGGGTGAGAAGCTCGGCCATCTGGGAGGGGCTCGGAGTAGACCCGCTGCTCCTCCACATCGAGAGGAGCCAGTTGAGGTGGCTCGGGCATCTGGTCAGGATGCCTCCTGGACACCTCCCTGGTGAGGTTTTCCGGGCACATCCAACCGGGAGCAGACCTAAAGGTAGACCCAGGACACGGTGTCCAGGGAGCTCCTTGGGATTCCCTCGTAAGAGCTGTCCCAGGTGGCTGGGAGAGGGAAGTCTCGGCTTAGGCTGCTGCCTCCATTACCCGACCCCGGATAAGTGGATGAAAATGGATGAATTGGTGATTAAAAGTAGCTTTTATGGTAACAAGAAGACTTAAACTGTACTAATAGCTTACAAAACCTGCCAAAAACATACGTGACAAAAAGTAAATAATATTAGATATTCACCCCCCAGCCACCCCCCTGTGCATTTAATGAACCTCCCACAGATGAAAGCAGATGGATGACATGTTGTGGACTTAATCAGTGTGTAATCATAAGGCTCAGTGTTGCTTCTTTCTCATTATAACCCCAACCACCAATCCTCGTTGTTACATCATTAACCTCTGTTTAATCTCTTCACACGAGGGAAGCAGCCATGAATCAGTCTGCTTCCTCATCACCCGCTACGGCGGTTGTCCTAAGATGATATCCTGGATAAATGTTGTTGTTGCCTTTTTTTACTTGAATGGTTTTTAAATGTCAGCGACCGCTGAATCAAAACGGTAAAACTCGCCTTGCGGGTTGGACTTCTCGCTGTTCTGAAGATGTGTTTCATAACATGTTGACATCAGCAGTGTGAAATAAGTTGATCTTTCAGAAGTTTTTAAAGTGCGGTGGATTCAGTCGGCTGTTTCATTCTTGTGCCTCACAGGAAAGCCGCCAGCAGCAGCACGCGCAGCGGTGGCAGGACCACGGGGTCCGCAGGAACCGGCGGCATATGGCGCTTCTACACTGAAGACTCGCCAGGCCTCAAAGTGTGAGTGCAGGTTGTGAAAGCAGCCATTATGAAGCAGCTGTACCTGTAAATGCACACATTTAGCCGCTGACATTTCCACCTGCTTCACCTGAAGCTAATAATTCTGCAGATTTCCGATTCTTGGAATGTTTAATGGTCGGAAATTACAAAGACGTGACTCTCCTGTGAAACAAATGATGTATTGGAGCTGTAGCATGTGCGTGCGTGCGTGCGTGCGTGTGTGTGTGTGTGTGTGTGTGTGTGTGTGTGTGTGTGTGTGTGTGTGTGCGTGTGTGTATAAACACTTAATTACACATTAGGCGAGTACCTGCTTAGGAAACTCTCATCCTCAAACTTGTGCTCTGCGTGGCCCGGATCTCAGAGGAGGCGTCCTGCCTCTCGGCCGTAGCCAGTTGTGGTTGATCGATGGTGCCGTGGTCGTTATCGAGTGCGTCTGTCCAGCAGTCGAAGGAGGGCAGGCCGGCCGTACAGTCGTGTTATCGAGTGCGTGTTTGTTCCTGCGTTAGACGTGGGCCTCAAAGCTTCATTAAAGGATCCACTCTGAAAGGTCAACTCAATTACAGCTTTCTGACGGGGGAAGGGGCCGCTGAGGAGGAGGTTGGCATGGCGATGCTGCTTCTTAGCAATGTGCTCCTCCATCCCCCCCCTCGCCTCCTCTCACCCTCCTTTAGAGATGAGAGCCCCCCTTATTTCCAAATCTCATCAATAAGACCAGCTCTGTGTGCGTGTGTGTGTGTGTGTGTGTGTGTGTGTGTGTGTGTGTGTGTGTGTGTGTGTGTGTGTGTGTGTGTGTGTGTGTGTGTGTGTGTGTGTGTGTGTGTGTGTGTGTGTGTGTGTGTGTGTGTGTGTGCGTGTGTGCGTGTGTGATCTGAGTAATAATATCCTTTTCTTGCCACAGCGGCCCTGTTCCTGTTCTGGTGATGAGCCTCTTATTTATCGCTTCAGTCTTCATGCTTCACATCTGGGGGAAGTACACCCGGTCTTAAATGCCACCCGATGACCTCTGACCCCACGCTTTGGCTTCTCTTTGGACCCGGACCAAACGACAAACCATTTTCTCCCTCTTCCATCATTACAACACACCTTTTTAATGTTTGTACGTGATCTGAGTCTGTACCAGTTGTTGGCATCATGCATCCTCCCGTGTGTTTTTACACCTGGTGGAGGTAAAAGAAAGCCATGCCGAGCCACCTTTAGGTGTGTGTGTGTGTGTGTGTGTGTGTGTGTCCCTTTAAGAAGCTGCAGCTGTGTTTCTACTCAGCTGCTGAATGAAGGCAGTTCAGTGCCCAAGGACATTTTTGATTTCAGGCCTCCAGCAAACTTCAACGCCTGAGTTTTTATTTTATTTTTTGTTAACAGCATTTGTACAAAATGGTTGTAAAACTGTACAATAAAAACAACAACAAGCAGCCTGAACGTGACCCGTTTCCCAGCGACTCCAGTCAGGTTGTTGTGTGCACACTTCATTCATCACCAGAACACAGAATTAGTTTTCTCACCAGCCTTTCTGGTGAGTTCGGTGTCGAGACGCACCTACTGCCTGATCAGCTCATCTACCCAAGGGTGATTCTCAATGTTCCAAATGGTTCAGCTGCTAGAAGTCCTTGTCTGGACTTATGATGTGATGAGTCCAAAATGTCATTTCAGGAAAAAACAGGTCATGGAACATCAAACCACTGGATCACATTAAACACATGCATCTAATTCAAGCGACTTACAAAGGTCCTTCACTGGAAAAGCATGTTTTTTACTTGTGTTCAAAATGATGAGTTTCATGCAGGCTGAACATGAAGATAGTCTCCTACACCTATCTCCTGCAGTAGCTTCTGATGGAAAACCGACGGTGAAACTCTAGGATTAGAAAATCCTGACAGATCTACGTCACCCTGTCACTAACATTCATGGACCCAATCCCAAAACTCGCCCTACGGTCTTCAGCGAAGCGCACTTGAAGAGCGTCAGCAGTAAGGCTTTGAGTGTGCGGTACACTACTGTGCTGAATTGAGACGGGGAACGTCACGTGATCGATGGCGACGCATGCCAGGATGCCGGTCGCTGATACTTCGTTAAAAAAACAACTTTCAAACAAACAATTATTTGAAATAGTTTAACATTCGTTGCTGCTTTGAAAGTTTTAGAGCATTAATCATCCTAAAAATAACATTTTCAGCTTGAGCCTGTTCTGCAGCAATGGATTGTGGGTAATACGCTTTACGCAAGTCCACATCGAAGGGTGCAAAAGGGGCTAGTAGAGGCTACCCATTAGCAACTCCACCGCACAGCAGAACTCCAGGCTTGTGTTATTTGTGGAGATAAAACAACGTTGTAGAGCTGGTGGTAGAGTTGTGTTGCTGTTAGCCAACAAGAGGAGAGACGTTCAATTATCAGGAAGTAAGACTCCAAAGCCTGCTGTCTGAGGACTCCTCTGATGCTTCTAGGTCCTGAAACAGGCGCATCAGAGCGTTTCTTCTAGAGAATGACTTACATGGCATTCCTACTAGAAACTACTGCAAAGGACAAAATACCTGCCCAACTTTCCCTTTGTTCCTCTCCGTCCAGGACCTGGCCGACAGATTTCTCTTCTCTAGCCTGGCGTCAAGGCTGGCTGAAAAGCAGAATGTGTGTTCTGGCCAGCTGAAGGGGTTCTGTCTGGACTGTGGAGAAAAAGACTGCAATAAGCACAAGTTGCACATATGATATAAAATGTTCCATCACAACATCCACTATGGCCACGTGATCAGGTGACATAGATGCATCGGGGCTATTGCCCTCCCTGGCCACCTCGTGGGAGCGCCACTGCCTCCCACAGACCATAAACGTCCACGTTGACTTGGTGCTCTGATTCATCCGACCATGTTGATTATTGGCCTATTCTGTTAATCTGCCGTTTTGGTGCATCTCTAAACAGGAAAAAACACAAATCTCTAAATAATCTGCATTTACATCCAGTTAACTCCGACTAGACATCAGAAGTCTGCCTCCAAGTCAACAAGACGTCTTTAAAAATTACCAAGTCACTCATTTTCAGGTCCCTGGGTACGCTCTTCTAACCATGTCTCCATGCTGAGGAGGGGAACAAACATTTTATTATTTAAAAATAAACAAACATCTGACTCTATTTGTTATTTTATCAACAAGACGCCTGAATACCAGAGCAGAGCTCCGGAGGTGTCTGTGGCTCTGAATCATGTGCAGCAGTTAATCCAACATGCTTCCAGACTGGAAACCATCACATGAGCTCAATCTGCAACCTTTAGAAAAAACCTAATCTCATTTGAGTTTGAGGTTAAAGCAGAAGAGAATCGTCCTGTTTGTTATTGGCTCCCAGCATCTGGAACATCTGTGGCTCGGTTCACATGACACGACGAGCAACCCGCACACCAGATCGGCACTCGAGTGTTGATGTTTATCACTGTTTATGTCAAATGTTCACTTCTGTCCACGAGACTAAAGTTACAGTTCAGAAGCACTCGGTGCTTTTGCCACGGACGTTTTAGTTGCTGCTTCAAACTGCAGAACGAGTGAGACATCATATTTTCAACCAGCTGATTTTTGTGTGGTTAACACAGTTAACGTTAATGTTCACTCTGGACGTTTATTTTATGGAGATTGTAGTTTTATTTTTTATAAATCAATGCTTTTGGACTCCTGCTGACTTTTATTGTCTTTTATAAAACTTTTCATTCTAATTTTTATTTGTAGTTATGCTCATGAATCTGCTAATTAGCATAATCAGATCTGCTGTTTGTGTTTAAATGAACACATGAAAATTCTCACTCAACTCTATTTTTTGTTTGTGGTTTTCTCCTGAAGGGGGCGCTGCAGGCCACTCTCCTAATATTACTGAGTCAGCAGATAGTAACGACTGAGGGCTGGTTAGGCGTGCGTGCGTGCGTGCGTGCGTGTGTGTGTGTGTGTGTGTGAAGTGTTTATTATTCTAATCCTAATAATTATTAAACACTTTTGTACTACTTTGCTTTCCCCACTGTGGGTTCATTAGAGTCTTCTCTATCTTACATAGCAACTAATCCCCAGAATGCTTTGATTTTGTTGTTTTCGCTCTGACTTTGTGGATTTTCTTCTTGTGGTTCTCTCAGATCCGCAGGTGCAGCTGCTGAGGACCCAACCTGCATCACCAGGTCACCTGTGATGAATATGAAGCCACCAGCTGGCTTGTCTTTGTCCATGTGTGTGTGTGTGTGTGTGTGTGTGTGTGTGTGTGTGTGTGTGTGTGTGTGTGTGTGTGTGTGTGTGTGTGTTAAACGCAGCGTTCATGTCCTGTTAATTAATTCATCCTGTTGCCATGGCTCTGCTTTCCGACGGGCTCCCGGTTTTCGTGGCATCACTCTCCCCGCTGTCCCCCGTCCTGCTCACAGAGACACTGACAAACTCCATGGCCCAATTCGTGGCGGCACAACACGGCAGCGAGCCAGAATAATTCAACCAATCTATTAAATATGAAGGCACCGCTGCAGAGATGTCCCTCGGCGTTTGAGAGTCAGATGAGTCCAGGCGGCGCGTGGAGCTCTGCGGCCGTCGCTGCAGCTGCAACTGGTTTCAAACTCCTCCTGACAAGCCAGCCCGCTGCATCGTTCAGCAGTAAAAACACCGCTGGTTTCCTCCTCCATGTCGCTGCGGCCACTAGAGAGCAAGCTTTTAATGTTTCAGTAAGACAAACTAAATGATCTCCACATGGGTCTGAAGTTTAAATAAAGCCTGTTATATTTAAACAGAGCAGTAGAACAAACAATCAACCAGACAGATCTCTTTGTGTTTTTGGATAAATGTTCATTCAAACTCACATAGAACCAAAAAATACAAAGTTTTATTTTTGTTCATCAGTTCTTAAATATCAGCATCAGGATCGGCCTAAAAAGATCCACATCGATCCACTTCCGATGCTCTTTTGGGTTCCCGTTTGCTTCCCTAATCGGGAAGTTTTATGTTACAGTGCAGGTGATTATTTTAATGTTGGGTTTTACCATAAATGGTCAAACGTCTGTTATGCATTTTTCTAGCACTTTACCAAAGATGACGTGTTCTGTCTTTAAATCAAGGAAAGGCCAAAGTCTGCAACAGCTCCAGATTTAAGATACATGTGTAAATAAAAGGACACGAGGATAGAGTTGGACTCTTTTCTCTTCTGTTGACCATTTTGTTGTCAAATGTTTTATGCTTGACATAAATCAACTAAATAAATCGGTGAACAGGTATTTTTTACACACCTGATGCTTTTAAATCAGAGAATGGAACAAACTGAGATCAGATTTCGTCTTTTGAGGTAAAACATTCCGTTTTTCCACTGAAAAGCTTCTGAAGAGCACCAGATATGTCAGTCTAAACTGTGTTTTATAGGTTATTTATGCATCGGAGGCTCTTTCTTTCTACCACATTAGACGATATGAGTTGTGCACCAACAAGTGAACTCAGAGTCTTTTGCACAAATCCTCCTATGAACATTTGGTGATGTTTGACTTGTGGAAACAAGCAGAGGAAGAAGACGAGAGCACTTCCTCTCTGGCTCTTTTACACCAGAAACCCATTTCCTGGAGGAAACCACACTCTTTTACCGGGGATGGTCCCGAACACAGAGAGCGGTCACGTGTTCTTCATACATTTTGATGTGTGGCTCATCGCAGATACACAGGCTGTCCTGCAGCTGGACACAGCTGTAGGACGTCAGGTGAAGTCTGAGCAGAACATCCTTCCTGCAGATGGCGGCTCAGTGTTGCATGCAGTCATGTTTTTATTTTTGTTTTCTGAACAGATCACCTGGTTGGTAAAGCGTGGATAAGATGTGGGTGGAACTGATCCGTGTTCACCGACCAAGTGAGTCCCGAGGGATGTCCAAAAACCGCGAGCTGGAGAGGGAATGATGGGAGATTCACAGCGGGATCCGCACTGAGATGACAGGGAAATCAAAGGTTCGGGATCCAAAATGCCTCCGAGTCAACAAGAAGCAAGCAAAAGTGGTTTATTTATGTGCACTACTCAGAACTTAAACATCAAGTGGTTGGTTAGAAAGCAGAATTAAATAAATAAACAAAGACAAACGTGACGTGACAAATAACAGAACGTACATTTGCTCAGAAAACAAAGAGCTTTCTACATAAATCAGATCTGTCAAAATGTGTAAATATTAAGAACAATTAATTTACTCTTATTGTAGCTCGCTCAGTGAATGGCTTCAGTTTGGAGAAATAGTTTAAGGCCTAGTCCACACGTAGCCGGGTTTTTGAAAACGAATATCCGCCCCTCCAAAAACTTGCATCCACACCACCGCGTTTTAAAAACAAACTCTGTCCACACGTACCCGGATAAATACGTTGTTAAGGACATGCCAGACCTGTAGGCGGCAGTACTTCCCCCGTTCTTAACCTCGTCCTTCGTCTGTGGTCTTCCGCAAGGAGCAGTAATTCCT